GAGCGCGGCGGGGTGTGTGTCGGCGCCGCTCCCGCGGGAGGCTAATCTGACCGACTGTCGGTCGGGGGGTCGGTCTGGGAAATTCCGGCCGCGTCCCCACTCTCCACCCCGACTGCACCCGGATTCACCCAGACCCACACCCTCTTGCTCCGACTCCCGAGGACCCGATTTGAGACCGGCCGCGGGACAATGCGGGGAGCCTGAAGGAGGGAGGGGTGGGCCCTTGTGCCTGCAGAGAACGGGGCTTTGGAAGTAGAAACTGGGGAGGGGGCTTTGAGCCAGGTCCCCTGGGAGAAGGCCTGGCTGGAGCCAGGGCACCAGAGCTGAGGCTGGGGCCGGGCTGGGCGGGGACTCTGAGGGCGGGTCCGTGGGAGGGGCAGGGAGGGGCAGGAGGCGAGAGATCTCTGGGCAGGGTGGGGGGCGGGTGCCCTCGGCTGCCTGGAAACCTGCTCGAGGCAGTTGTGGATGGCTGCCCTCCCCAGGTCCCGCTCCTGGGGGGCTGCCCTCGCCGTCCCTGCCCCCGATCACGCTGTTTCTCCTCGGCCTTGCCGCCGGTGCACCCCCACTCTTCTGAACGCTCCCCGCGTCCTGTCCTCCTCGAGTTAAAATCTGCGCGAGTTATTCGGGGGCCTCCTCTCCACGATCTTTCTCCAAACCGCCCTGGGTTCCAGCTTCCTCCCTCCTGCCCTTCAGGGGAAAGAGCGGCTGTGACTTGTGTTTCTTCCCAATCCAAGAGCTGCCTTATCAGCAACGGTTGGAATCCGGAGCAGGGAGTGAGTCTGGGAGTGGGAGGGGGACGATTGGCGCTTTGAGGTCCAGCCAGCGCCCCTGGCTACCACGCCCCATCCCAAGGATGAGAATACCTGTGGAATCAGGACACCTTGCACCCAGGCTGGCCGTGCGGGAGACAGAGAAGCGTGGCACACAGCGAGGGCACTATCAGTATTGACCATGGTGACAGCGAGAGGCCTGGGAGCAGGGGGTACCTGGAAGAGCACTGGGTCCCTCAGACTCTGCAGCTACAAGCTCTTCTATATCCCTGCAGATGACCGGGGGTGCAGAATGTGTCACTCTGAATGTGCTGGGGAGGGGCACAAGCACCTGTGCCTGTCCTGGTGAGACCTGCGGTGGGAGTGTGCACATATGTAAGACATGATGTCCGGTGTGAATGTGTGAGTCTGGGAACGACCCTGGTCCTCTCCAAGGACTCCAGGGGTAGCAGATCCTAGCCATCCGTGGCCCCCCGAGGGAATCACACTGGCTCTTTTGGCCCTGGGACCAATGGTGGGCCCAGTAGAGGGAATGCTCAGCCAGGCTCTGGTTCCCGGCAGCCTCTGTCCTCACCCCAGGTGGGATGACTATGTGGGATGCTCGGTGGGCCATCCAGGTTTAGGAGCCAGATGGGTACTGAATCTGAGGTCCAGGCTACATTCCAGCCTGGCTGTCCTCAGAGCTCTGCTGGTAACTAGGATGTAACCCGGATTCCCCTTTGGAGCCTGTCACTCTCCCCTCCCAACCGGACACTCAGATTATTCCATCCGGCTCTGCTCCCAGCCCCCCTACATCGCCCCCACTTCCACCCTGGCACTCCTTCCTGAGGCTTCCTCAGTCCTCTGCCTTGGATCCCTGGTTCTGAACCCCAGCGACCCTAGCAGACCCTCGCAGAAGGAGACAGGGCAGGCCCAACCAGCCACACATAATCACCCCCAGTGAGAAGTCAGACCTTACAGAGGAAAGGGACTTGCGGTCCACTCATCTCCACACACTCAGAGGAACTCCAGCTGCCCTGGCAACGCGGCTCCTCCTGCTCATGGCCCTCACTGCCGAGTGCCTGGTGGGACATGGGGGGCTGGGGGAGGCAGGAGAACGGGGAGAGCATCGTCAAGGCAGAAGTCTAGGCTGGAAGACCACATCGGTCCCTTAGCCAGCAACTCTTAGCCTTTCTTTGGGGGCATGGCCCCCCTCAAGAACTTAATAAAAGTTATGGAGCTGTCCTCAGAAAAATGTGCACACATACAATTTCAAAGAATTCATGGAGTCCCTGAGTCCCATCCATGCATCCCTGGGAAGTCCCTGAAATTTTTACTGGTGAAGAAAGTGATGTCCAGTAAGGGAGTGTGGCTTGCCCCAAGTTTCACATTAATTTGTGGCCATGACTGAGAGTGGAAATACAGAGGCTCAAACAGAGACCTCTGTTACACACACACACACACACACACACACACACACACACACACACACGAACGACTGTTTCTAGGGAGACCTGGCCTCTGAGGAGATGGTGTTGCAGGTCCAATCCCATTCTGGGCAGCTGGCACCCCGGGGCAGGAGGCTGGGATAAAACCTCCCAGCCCTAAGGGCCGGCGCTCTCAGCACCTTGGCTGCAGTAGACGGTGGTGTGGGCCGGGGAGGCCAGCGCTGGCCTCTCTGGTCACCTGCAGAAGTTTTGCCTCCCCCAGGCCCAAGCCTCGCCTTCCCCCAAAGATGACCTGGGTGGGGGGCACCATGCTGCTCCCTACTCTTCTCTTTGGGATGGCATGGGCACTGGCTAAAGGGTAAGCAGCTTCCCCAGGACCCCTCCAACTAAGATCTTCCTCCTGCCTAGCCCAGGGACCCTCTGGGGCACCAGGCTCCCTCCCCTGTGCTTCTCTCTCCACCCTTAGCCTCATCCTTACTTCAGTAACCTCCTCTGGGAGTTAGCTCTTATGGGAGTGGGGTCACAGGACAGGGCTTCTTGGCGACACAGGAGAGAGCAGCTATTGTTGCCCATCCAC